TGATCCAGCAATTCCACTCCTAGGTATTTGCCCAAAGGACACAGAAACATTAATTCAAAAGGGCACCTGCACTCCTATGTTTATAGCAGCACTATTTACAATAGCTACGTTATGGAAACAACCCAAATGCCCAAAAATAGATACTGGATCAAGATGTGGTACATATACACAATGGAATATTACTCAGCAATCAAAAAAGATAAACTCATGCGATTTTCAGCAACATGGATGGAACTGGAAGGGATCATGCTCAGCGAAATAAGCCAGAAAGAAAAAGAAAAATACCGTATGGTCTCACTCATAGCAGGAATTTAGAAAACCTAAATAAGGACCAGGAAAAAGACTAATTATAATAAAGAAAAAAATCAAAACCAACAAGCAACTATAAACCAGAGACACACTACAGGGGGTAGGGGGGAAGGAGAGGAGGGATTAGGGTCAAAATAAGGGGGGGTGGAACTATATGGGGAATATAACCTAAATGAAAATGCATACATTGTGCAAAAATGAAAAATGATGTAAGAATTATACAAAATAAAATATATTAATAAAAAATATTATTTCCTTTCCTCAAATTGAGGTGACTAAATCTACTTCAAGTAGGTGTGATATTTAAATCTGATTTTCCTGCTGGAAATGTGTCCTAAGTTGATTAAATCACTTACTATTATGGTGTTAGAATTGGAATCATGTAATACTAACTTGGTTTTATATCTGAAGATGAAGAGAAGCAAAAGAGGAGAAGAAAGGAAAGGAGAGGAGAAAATTCTTAGGAAAGCATCACTAGTAAGTAGGAAGTCATTTGGAAATAAATAAAATTCCAATTTATTCAATTAACTTTTCAATTCCAATTCCAATTCCAATTTACTTTTCATTAATAGATCCTAAATTCATCACAACAAAACAATCATTAAGAAGTTTGAAGTTTGTTGTTTATTAATTTGTTCAGATCCATAAACATTTATAGATGAACTTCATGAGCCAGGCACAGTGTGAATAAGGTGCTGGAGACTAGCATGAAAGACATGATCCATATCCATAATTCTACTGGAGGAAATTTCACCAAAAGTCAATTGTACTATGAGGTGACAATCACTGTGAAAGATGTAAGCATGTGGCATATGAAGGCAAAGGAACTGCATTCAATTCAACAAAATATACTGGGACACAGAGCATATTTAAAATTTAGGAAAAAACTATAAATATGAAAAAACTGTGCTAGGGCTCTTTGTGTTTACTACATCATAAGTTAGATTTCACCTCAATTCTGGAAAAAATTAAGTTTTCAATGTAAATTTTATGGAACTTCTTTTAGTGAACTTGAAAAAAATGTGTAGACTGTTAAAATGTGAGTGTAAGAAGAAAGTCTTTAAGAAGAGAGTAATCATGATCTTGTTGCCTCCCACGCAATCACTTGAGGTTTTCTTAAATAGGAAGCCCATAAAGAGAGTCTCTTCATTAGCTGAACCTCGAAGTCTTTTGTGGTAAAAGAATAAACATTTAAACACTCCATCTTAACACTGTACCTCTTTTTTTTTTTAAGATTTATTTATTTATTTATACAAGCACTGGGTACAGTCAGAAGTGCGGGAGGGTGAGAGAATTCACCAGAGCCGGAACAGGGAGCAGAACAGGCAGAAGGAGGGCCTCCCTGGTGGCACAGGCGGTTGAGTGCCGCACTGTGAAGCTGTCTGCAGCCTCTGCAGCATGGTTTCGATCCCAGCCGGCCAGCAAGAATCCCATATGGCACAGCAGACCTCTCCTGTTTCTCCCGATGCTTCCCTCAGTCGGTCTGCCTGTTCTGTTCCCCACTCTGTCTCTGGTGAATCCTCTCACCCTCCCACTCATCTGGCCTGTACTCTGGTTCTTGTATAAAAATAAATCTTAAAAAAAAAAAAAAAAAAAAAAAAAACAGGCAGAGGGACCAAAGTACACTGCTGAGGGGAGCAGCGGGAAGCAGGAGAGGTCTGCACACCATGTGGGACCCTCACCAGGGGGCCAGGGATCGAACTGGCAAGGCAGAGGCTGTGGGCAGCTTCGCAACCCAGCGCTCAACCATTGCACCACCGGGGAGGCCCCTAGCACTGTAACTTTTAATAGTTTCTTTGTATAGTCAGTCACACTCTAGGAAAAGCATAGCAATAAACAGGAAACAAGTGATTCATATATTTCCACAAAATGGAAATCATGATTTAAAAATATAGTCTTTAGAAATATACTTAAACAGATGGAGATGATTGAAGCAAGGATAACTCAAACTCATAATGCCTGACATTATATACCAATTGGAAAAAACCACACAGTTATTTGGAATTGGAAACTTTATGCCACTGCTGAGTAACTGAGAAATGATTTGATGTTTACCCCTCAAAAAAAAAAAAAAGAAAAAGAAAAATGAAAAAAAGAAACTTGTAAATGGTGGAAGCTATGATAACAGTAATTTTAAATGTTGCTTGCTTTTCCATTTCTTCTTCAAGTAGTGATAGTCTACTTTGCAATAATCACACAAAAATCTTGTTCTAATCTAAGACTGCTCATTGGCAGAGGTAATACTACGTAGCCATGAAATACCATTTCATTTTGCTTCTTTTGGAGACAGAAAAAGACTGTTTCCAAGCCTCCTTGACTTAGTTCTGCCAATAGGAGATAAGTTGAAGTGATGTATATCCCTGGGCTTTGTCATAAGCCTTTTTCATGTACCCATCCTTTTCCTTCCGAGGCAAACTTACTGACTAAGGTCACTGTTTAAGATAGCAGTGTGTTTCCATTTCTTTGTGTCTTCTTCTATTTCTTTTAACAGTGTTTTATAGTTTTCTTTGTATAGGTCCTTTACCTCTTTTGTTAGATTTATTCCCAAATATTTGATTTTTTTTGTTTCGATAATAAAAGGGGTGGTTTTTTTGATTTCTTCTTCTTCAGATTTATTGTTTGTGTATAGGAAGGCTACTGACTTTTGCGTGTTGATTTTGTATCCTGCCACTTTACTGAATTGATTGATGAGTTGAATTAGTTTTTCTGTGGAGATTTTGGGGTTCTCTATGTATATTATCATATCATCTGCAAATAGTGATAGTTTGACTTCTTCTTTTCCTATTTGGATTCCTTGGATGTCTTTCTCTTGTCTTATTGCTCTGGCTAGCACTCCTATGTTTATAGCAGCACTGTTTACAATAGCTAAGCTTTGGAAACAACCCAAATGCCCCAAAATAGATGACTGGATCAAGAAGATGTGGTACATATATACCATGGAATATTACTCAGCATTCAAAAAAGATAAACACATGCAATTTGCAGCAACATGGATGGCGCTGGAAGGGATCATGCTCAGCGAAATAAGCCAAAATGAAAAAGAAAAATACCGGATGGTCTCACTCATAGCAGGAATCTAGAAAACTTAAATAAGGGACCAGGAAAATGAATATAAGAAAGTGAAAATCAAAATCAACAAAAACTATGAACCAGAGACACTTTTTGGGGTGTGGGGGCGGGAGGGGAAGGATTGGGGTCAGAATGGGGCGTTTGCAATTGTATGGGGGAATATAAAAATAAAATTTAATATTTAAAAAAAAAAAAAAAAAAAAAAAAAAAAAGACATTGGGAAAGACAAATCCCATCACCACCAAAGGGAAGGTGGCTGGGACCTGAGGGTGGAGTTAAGTAGCCAGGTTGGGTATAAAAACCAAACATGTGGGCCTTGGGGGGCTCACTATCGCTCGCCTCCTGGCTTCACGGCTCCTGGCTCGCGCCAGCTCTCAGAGTGCCATTTGGGATTCCAGATCGGCTGATAGGGTAGGACTCATTTAAAACTTCGTCTCCCACTTTTCTCCCTGAGCTGTACATTTCCTCATTTCCCCTTCCCTTGTAAATAAACCTTTTATTAACCTTTAAAAAAAAAAAAAAAAAAAAAAAAAAAAAAAGATAGCAGTGTGTCAACATGGAAGGAATCTGAATCCCTGAGTTACTGCTTGGACAAAAGCAACAAGGAAAACAAACCTACTTGTATATATTGTGGTATGAATGAGAAATAAACCACTCTAAGTTTAAATCAGTAAGATATGGGCCTTATTTGTTGTTAATGCATAACTAAACCTATGTTGATACACTACCTTTTCTAACAATTTCGAATTAGCAAGGTTGTATATGAAAACAGACCAGTGAAATTTAAAATATCCTGAAAGCTCCAACACAGAATAATAGCTATGCTTTTTTCCATGGTTAGTATTTTATGTATATTCTAATTAACACTGTCCTAATTTCTTAAGGGAAAATGAATGAATAAGATATAGTTGCTCTAGGAATATCTAAAATTACTATATACATTATATGCAAATTTAAATAATTTGCTTGTTTATTTATTTACAATATCTTAATATAGATAATGGGTAGATATTGAAAGATACAAAAGAATGAAAACAAAAGGATTAAGTCTGGAGCAACTTCCTGCAGGAAAAAGTAATGACCTTTCAAAAATAGTATTAATTCTGTAACCGATTTTGTTAACAGCACAGTTTGATTAATAGAAACAAAGGGGAGAAAGGAGGAAAACATAGATCATCAGAATCCCTTTTTATCCACTTAAAGAAGCCTGTTTAACACCACTACCACTTTCCCTCCTCTCCTACACAAAAAGGCATTATTTAATTTTTTGTCAATAAATTTATTTCAAGTCAAAATCTTTGAAATAGGTAAAATCATGTCTGCTAATCACATAGTCCTGTGAATTTGAAGATTTCAGGATTTTCAAATTTCCTTTTAGCTTACTTTTATGATTTCTTGGTCAGTTTTCAATATGGGTATTTAGGGAATCCTTGATTTTACTTTAAGGTTAGGCTATTTTCTCTGAAGTTCAATTAGTAAGTAACTTTATGTTAGTAAGATGGTGTTTTCAGATTCCTTTTCTAACCCTAATCATCAATATTTTGATGACACATAAAACACAAATAAAATTTTGTAAGCATCTGTAAGAAGATAGCGTTTCCTTTGATGTCTCTTTAATGCAGATGAAAATATCCATTCATGAGAAAAGCATAACTTCGATTCACCATTTCGCTGAGGTAAGAGCACAACGGGATGGTGTGACACCAGCCTTCTGGGACCTGGAACTCCCATCAAAACTGAATGTTTCTCCAGTCACAATATTCTTGTGAAACTGGATTTATATGTGTTTACAAATCTTGGCCCATTATTATACTTTGAATGTTGCTGTTTCCTTTTAATGCTGGCTTCTCCCATTCTGATTTGTAGGCATCCAATGACTACTGCTGTTCCAGGGGCTCAGAGGTATCTATGATGAGTCTTAGCACACCTGATTTCTCTTTCTTTTTTTTTTTTTTAACATTTAAGTTTTTTTTAATTTTGTTTTTATTTATTTATTTATTTTTTAATCTTTATATTCCCCATACAATTGCAACCCCCTGATTTTAACCCCAATCCCTCCTTTCCCTGCCCTCCCCTAAAGTGTGCCTCTGGTTCATAGTTGTTTGTTGATTTTGATTTTTTTCTTCTTATAGTTATTCTTTTTCCTGGTCCCTTATTTAAGTTTTCTAGATTCCTGCTATGAGTGAGACCATACGGTATTTTTCTTTTTCTTTCTGGCTTATTTCGCTGAGCATGATCCCTTCCAGCTCCATCCATGTTGCTGCAAATTGCATGAGTTTATCTTTTTTGATTGCTGAGTAATATTCCATGGTGTGTATGTATCACATCTTCTTGATCTAGTCATCTATTTTTGGGCATTTGGGTTGTTTCCAAAGTTTAGCTATTGTAAATAGTGCTGCTATAAACATAGGAGTGCAGGTGCCCTTTTGAATTAATGTTTCTGTGTCCTTTGGGTAAATATCTAGGAGTGGAATTGCTGGATCATATGGAAGCTCTATCTTTAGTAGGTTGAGGAATCTCCACACAGCTTTCCATAGTGGTTGGACCGTTTGCACTCCCACCAGCAGTGCAGGAGAGTTCCTTTTTCTCCACATCCTAGCCAACATTTGTTGCTAGTTTTTTTAATATGTGCCTTTAATATGTGCCTTCCACAGAAGGAAGATGGTATCTCATTGTAGTTTTGAGTTGGTTTTTGTGCATTGTGTGAGGTAGTAGTCTAGTTTCATTCTTTTGCATGTAGTGACCCAGAAGAGGTGCTCAGTTTCCTATACTTATTACTTGGACGGGAATCATGATTCTAATACACACTTGAGATGAAATACACCTCCAAGAGCAGTGAGTATATACTTATATTATTTACAATTTTTCCAAAAGAAAGCTTTTGCCCTTCTCCCCTCCCTCTTATTTATTTACTTAATCATTTACTTATATCAGCATGGATCATAGATATCTATTTATACTTTGGGATACAGTATATAATATTATGGTTGGTTAATTTCCTCCACCTTTGTCCCCTGTAAGCTCTTTTGAGCTTCTGCATCCCTATGTCATGACCCCATTATTTTGCTTTTTGAGAATTTCTTTACTCTCAGATCCTATGAGATGATCGAGGCTCATCATGCATATTCCTGCCCCTCTTAGAACTCAGACTTAGTTATTTCTCCAAGGAGCCCTAATTTGTTCAATTGGGAATAACATCTATCTATCTATCTATCTATCTATCTATCTATCTATCTATCTACTTATCTATCTATCATCTCCTTTTGTCTTTATATTTCTAATTTCCAGTCAAAGTACCTTTACGCAAAGTAACCTTTTTTTCCCACTGGCTTTAATGCGGTAATGCCATACATTATGACACAGTCAGATTGTTTTATCACATTCTGTAGTCCATCCTGGAACCCACAATGGTCTGATTGATGATTTTTTTTAGTTGCATACAATAAAATTTTCTCTTTGTGTATATTGTTCTAGGAGATTTTACAAATGTATATGGTGTTGTCCTGATATTCTAGGACCATACAGAGCTGTTTCATTGAAATATCAAGGTATGGATCAGCTGGTGTTTGCATACATGTAGACATCTTTATTTTTCTGGTCCCTCTGAGAAGGAAACAATAAGACTTAATTAAATGTGCAGATATATATCAGGGGAAAAGTTTATGTAAAAAGAAACAGGGAGCAAACAGAAAAGACTGGGCAAGATATGAGACTAAAATGCAATTATGATACCAAGTCATATTTACATATTGCTAAATTTACATATTTAGGAAGGCAGCAGAGAGTGGGTAGAGGGATCTTAGATTTTTGTGCAATGTAAAGAAAATTTGGCAAAGCCATCAGAAGATCTTGAGTCCTGGTTGTCCTACAAAGGTGTTCTAATATTTCCTTGCAACAGATCAGCATTAGTCCTCTGTTGCTTCCAATCATTGGTGCAGAGGGATGCACCCGTATGTGCCCCTTTAATCTGCAATCTGCCTCATCTTTCCTCTGGAACTCAGCTTACTCTTTTTAGGAAGGATATAAGTAGTTAAAATGAAAATCTAACAAATAAGAAAATGTGCAAAGAAAAGCATATTAGTATATTTATATGTGTACATGTTTTGCCTTCCTACATACATGTTAACTTTACATATTAATTTAAAGTTCATTTATGAATAACAAAGTAAGTAAATTTTAAAATGAAAGGTAGCAGGAAAAATTTTAATAATTACATAATGACATGACATATCTTATTCAATATGATTGGAATGTTTTGGATTTCTTTGAATTTTTACATCAAAATGCCAGCTTTCAGTACATTTTTATCCAATAATTCATTATCTATATGTATATGTCTATGTCTTAAAAGTTAACATTTGTAAATGTATTAGTATTTCCTAAATAAATAAATCTTGTACCTATGTAAAAAGGAATTTTTTTCTAGCATCATTTGGATACATTGAAAAGGTAAAAATAAAGAAGAAACATTTTTCTCCAGAAACGCTGCATTTTCTAGTCCCTTGACTCCAAATGCATAGTAGCTGTCATTGTTACCTTCTCACGAGACCCAGGCAGCACCTGAGGCAGATGAAGAAACTAGTTCCTGATTATATTTTAGGAAATTGGAAGATAAATACATTTGCCCTAATATAAAGGAAGCAAAAAGCAAAAGTTTGGAAAGTTGTGAATAAAAATTACTAAATAATAACTATTAAAGCTGTCTGTTTGGTTATTTTCCTCATAGGAGGAGACAAGGTTTTTGGGACACAATATGTTAAGGTAGAAATGGTCCTGCAAATAAAATATTTGGAGAAGAGTGGCAGGAGAACAAGGCAGATAAAAAAAGAACAGAGAACAAGGAGCCATTTTTTTTTTCCTCTGAACAATGTATTTTACGTAAATTGGCTTCCCTAGGGAAATGAGAAATTTTAGAGATTAATGAAGGAGGACATCTTGTTATGAGATCTATTATTTGTAGGGAAAATAAGGATGAGGAATATAATGACATAAATATGTAACTCTAACTTAAATTTTCTGATTTTATTACCAAGGAGTTAAGTGTTATATGCATTTTATGCAAAGCACTTCAAAATGAATTGTCCAGTTAGCAGCTTCCTTTTTATTGTACCACTTCCATCTGGACACAACAGCATTTTTTGCATTAACATTCTTTCACTCCCACATTTCTGGAATGAAAGCACCACATCAGTTCAGGCCTCATCGACTATAAATCTTCCACCTTTAAAAATAAAATAGGAATATAATTCTCATTTCCTCATCATAAATCCAAAACTTCATTATTTCTGGCAGTCACAACATCACTTTTAATTGCTATGCCAGAAGCAATAGTTTCCAGTAATATGGATGAACCTGGGTAAATTTTGCTGCTCCTCTTAGTTTTTAAATTGTTTTTGTCTTTTTTTTTTTTTTTTTTTTTTTTTTTTTAAAGATTTATTTTTATTTATTATTTATACAAGCACTGGGTACAGTCAGAAGCGCGGGAGGGTGAGAGAATTCACCAGAGCCAGAGCGGGGAGCAGAGTAGGCAGAAGGACTGAAGTACACTGCTGAGGGGAGCAGCGGGCGGCAGGAGAGGTCTGCACGCCATGCGGGACCCTCCTCTGGTGGCCGGGGAGCAGCCGGGGATCGAACCGGCGCTGCAGAGGCTGCGGGCAGCTTTGCAACCCAGCGCTCACCTGCTGCGCCACCGGGGAGGCCCTGTTTTTCTGTCTTAAAAAGAAACAGGGCCAAAGATCTATATGTTAATGTCGCTTTCATATTTGCATCATTTAATATGTAACAAAAATAGATGGTAGAATATATAATAAAAATCTATTGCACATAGGGCCTCCCCTGGTGGCGCAGCGGTTGAGCGCTGGGCTGTGAAGCTGCCCACAGCCTCTGCAGCGCTGGTTCGATCCCTGGCCGCCAGCGAGGGTCCCACAGGGCGTGCAGACCTCTCCTGCCGCCCGCTGCTCCCCTCAGCAGTGTACTTCGGTCTTTCTGCCTGTTCTTCTCCCCACTCTTGCTCTGGTGAATTCTCTCACCCTCCTGTGCTTCTGACTGTACCCGGTGCTTGCATAAATAAATTAATAAATCTTTCAATGAAGCTTGACCACTACCTCACACCATACACAAAAATCAACTCAAAACGGATTAAAGAACTAGACATAAGACCTGAAACCATAAAATACATAGAAGGAAATATAGGCGAAACACTACAGGATTTGCACATCAAAGATATCTTTACAGACACATCACCCAAAGCAGTGATAGTGAAGGCAAAGATAAACAGCTGGGACTACATCAAATTAAAGAGCTTCTGCACAGCAAAAGAGACAATAACAAAAACAAAGAGAAACCCCACCAACTGGGAGAACATTTTTGCACACAACACTAATGATAAAGGACTGATCACAAAAATCTGCAAAGAGCTGATGAGACTCAGCAACAACAAAGAAAATAACCCAGTCAAAAAATGGGCAGAAGAGCTAAAAAGAAACTTCTCTGAAGAGGAAATGCAAATGGCCAACAGACATATGAAAAAATGTTCAACATCACTTGTAATCAGGGAAATGCAAATCAAAACTACCATGAGATACCATCTCAGACCAGTGAGAATGGCACATATTAAAAAAACTAGCAACAACAAATGTTGGCGAGGGTGTGGAGAAAAAGGAACTCTTCTGCACTGTTGGTGGGAGTGCAAACTGGTCCAACCACTATGGAGAGCTGTGTGGAGATTTCTGGACCTACTAAACATAGAGCTTCCATATGATCCAGCAATTCCACTCCTAGGTATTTACCCAAAGGACACAGAAACATCAATTCCAAAGAGCACCTGCACCCCTATGTTTATAGCAGCACTGTTTACAATAGCTAAGCTTTGGAAACAACCCAAATGCCCAAAAATAGATGACTGGATCAAGAAGATGTGGTACATATATACCATGGAATATTACTCAGCATTCAAAAAAGATAAACACATGCAATTTGCAGCAACATGGATGGCGCTGGAAGGGATCATGCTCAGTGAAATAAGCCAAAAAGAAAAAGAAAAATACCGGATGGTCTCACTCATAGCAGGAATCTAGAAAACTTAAATAAGGGACCAGGAAAATGAATATAAGGAAGTGAAAATCAAGATCAACAAAAAACTATGAACCAGAGACACTTTTTTGGGGGTGGGGGGCGGGAGGGGAAGGATTGGGGTCAGAATGGGGCGTTTGCAATTGTATGGGGGAATATAAAAATAAAATTTATTATTTAAAAAATAAATTAATTAATTAATTAATTAATCTTTAAAAAAATGTCTATTGCACATAAATATTATAAATATAAGTGAAGTATATCATGCAACAAGTTTAAATAAAACTAAACTTTATGCATATAATCTCTATACTTTTTGGAGTTTACATGCATTTTGTTGTAAAGAAATAAAAGTTTCAAATATAACAGTGAGATAAAAATAAACATACTAATGAAAACACACTAATCAATTTCCTGTTTCTTTAATTTTAAAGTTATTTTATGTCTATTATTTATTTGCCAACCACAACTTTTTTCTAAAATATTTTATAGCTAGAAATATCAGTATTAATTCAATGTGAATGAACTAATTCTGTAAACATTTAAAAATATTCTATAGCAAAGTGAATGTAGGTTTGTTTTCAGTAGTAATAGGAGAGATTTCAAAGTTTGCATCTTCTATTAATATATTCTCTTTTATCAAAACTTTGATTTTTAGAGTTAGAAGATTGTTTTACTGCCACATGGAATATTTTTGTATGCAAATACAAATTATTCTAGAATTTCTGCTAGTTTAGTCAACAGTTGTGACCAAATGAAAGGACAGAATTGTAATCTGAACAATTTCATAGACAGTGAGGGGGCAGGGACTGTGGTTTCCTTCCCCTTATGCATGAAGGATGTTGGTTTGGTTGACAGAATTTACTACGCAGCTTTTCCTTCCTTCCTCACCTCTGCAAGTGTGTCCTTTTGAAATCTGAGCAGTCAAATGGCATGATTCTTTCAGTAATAAAGTCAGACTTATGTCAGTGGAATAAAAGTAACTGGTACACTCTGTATAACCTCTACAAGAATCAGCCCTCTGACTGCAATTTGTTATACGTGTAATTTGATTATATTAACAAATCTTACATATTTAGGAGGTATGGAGTTTATTAACTTTAAATTGAAACTTTATTCTGAATTTAAAATTTCAATGGTATTTGGTTAGATGTTTTTGTTTTCAAAAACTAACCTATTTAAAATAAATTTTCTCCACTGCTTATTACTCATCATTTATTCTACTTCTTGACAGAAAGTTTATAGATAGATATAAACTAAACAGATAAATAGAACAAATATTACTTCATCTGAAATAAGTAAGTGTTTGGAACTTATGGGAAAGCATCTAAATGCCAACTATGTCATACTTTCTCCCTTTCTTTAGTAAAAGACTAGTGATTTTAGCAGGCTACACTTCTTCCTAAAATGAAAAAAATATATAGTTCTCAGGAGTGCTTATGATTAGACTCTAAACAATGAGATGTAAAGAAACAATCAGGAGGGCATCCCTGGTGGCACAGCGGTTGAGCGCTGGGTTGCAAAGCTGCTGGTAGCCTCTGCAGCACCGGTTCGATCCCCAGCCGCTGGCAAGGGTCCCACATGGTGCGCAGACCTCTCCTGCCATGTCCGCTGCTCCCCTCAGCAGTGTATTTCGTCAGTCTACCTGTTCTGTCCCCGCTCTGGCTCTGGTGAATTCTCGCACCCTTCTGCGCTTCAATGTACCCAGTGCTTGTATAAACAAACAAACAAACAAATAAATAAATAAATCTTAAAAAAAAAAAAAAGAAACAATCAGGAAAAAAGAAAGTTCACTGAAATTGTAAATATGAGATTAGGTACACAAAGTTCAATAATATTATTGGAAGATGACAGTATAACTAATTTCCTAGAAAAATAATGAAAATATAGAAAATAGAAAAGATAAAGACTCAGAAGATCATTCCAGGAGGTTCCACACTCATTTAGGAGATTCTCCACTTAGGAGACAAAACATGATTCTCACGTTTTAAAAGACCCATAGCATCTTCAACCCAAAAAATGAGACACCTTATGCACAAAGGAATAACAACACTGCAGCTTAGACCAGTGCTTCTCAGATGTCAAAGTGCATTTTTTTTAAAGATTTATTTTTATTTATACAAGAGCGGGGTACAGGCCAGAGTCATGGGAGGGTGAGAGGATTCACCAGACACAGAGCGGGGAGCAGAACAGGCAGATTGTCCTAAATACTCTGCTGAGGGGAGCAGCGGGCAAGACAGGAGAGGTCTGCCTTGCCATGTGGGATTCTCCCTGGCCAGCCAGGAATTGAACCGGCGCTGCATAGGCTGCAGACAGCTTCACAGAGCTGCACTCAAAGGGGGTGCACACCAGGGAGGCCCTTAAAGTGCATTTTTTGATGTACTTATTGACCATAATCAGTCTATGTCTTCTTTGGAGAAGTGTCCATTTTGCTCTTCTCATTTTGGAGTAGAGTTTTTTGTTTTCTTTTTGTTGAGTTGTACATGTTCTTTGCAGATTTTGCATACTAGACACTTAGTAGATGCATGATATACAAACATTTTTTTTCTAAATAGTTGGGTGTCTTTTCATTTTAATGATAGTTTCTTTTG